AAGGCGGTGGTGCCAACAGTGCTCTGAGCGTCGGTGATATTGAGATCGATCTACTCCAATTGGACTTTGTGTACACTACCTATCGCATGGAACCCAATCTCACCGATCGTGTACGCCTTCCCAAACAACTCTATTTCCACACGTGGTGCCCTCGTCTCATACAAAAGAGCATTTCAGATGATGCTGGTACACTGGAACTGCTTCACAATGCGGACATTCCACGCAGGATGATCCTGTTCTTCACAGATTTGACTCATGGTACACAGCCAGCATTGGCTGGAGGTGAAGCATCGCATTCTTCGAACAGACTGGCCATGATTCATGCAAATCTCAGTCAACTTCGTGTCACTGTCAACGACCAGACGCTCTTTGACAACCCGCTCAAGTTCCAGTGGGATGTGAGTCGTAATACTGAAGGGCAATACGTCTACGATTACAACAAATCCTCCTACCTGCGTGGCTACAATCTGGTACAAGACTTTTTCGGCAAGACGTATGGAACGCAAATCCCCATCACCGCTGCAGATTACTGCAATCACTACTTTATGGTGCCTATCAACTTGAATCTGGATCGGACCACAGACAATCCAAGATCGAGAGGAAATCTGTCCATCGACTATCAATTTAGCGACGTGACAAACGCCCCCGTGAGGAGACCTAGCGAAAATGGCGCCTCGATCAAAGTCAACCTTCTCTGCATGGACAAGTACTTGTACACCATGAGCAAAGATGAAGGTATCAAAGCCGAAGTTGTATGAATTAATTCCGACCTAGTAGTAAAAGGGCATCATGGAAGGTGGTGACCTGGAGACCAGACATCGTGTCTACGGTGGTGATTTGAAAACATCGAGTCGACAACACGGTGGATTCTTCTGGAAAAAGAGCTTCTGGAAAAACCTAATCGGTGCTGGACCGGATGAGATGGAAAAACAGATGGCGGAACCCACGACAAAACAAGATGCAATGCAACGCGGTGGACTTGGACCCCTGGCTGCCATGGCAGGAATGACACTTCTTCCCATGCTTTTGGGGAGAGGAGAGTCCGGAGACATTGTGGAAACGCAAATGAAAACAGCTTACAACCCTGCCATGCACCGAGGAGGTCTAGCCATTCCACCAGGATTAGCCGCCAAGGCCATACCACTCCTGACGAATCTGGCTGCTCCCTTGGCCATGGGTACCATGGCATCACTGGGTGACAACGTAATGGATAAAATATTCGGCAGAGGAGTAAGGAAGGGAAGCTCAGCAGGTGCCATGAAGCGCACTAAAAGTCGTCGTCGTCGGCATGCACCGAAGAAGATTCGTCAACGAGCATCTCGAAAAACCAAGAAACCAGCTCGTCAAGTTCGCTCCAAAGGCCGCAGGGCACGAGGAATAAAGAAACAAGGAAGGGTATTGTTCAAAAAACTAGGACATCGTGCCCTCGACGAAGCTTCATCGTTCCTGTCTGCACCTCGTAGATCCCTAACCCGTCCTGAAACTCCATTTGCTCAAAAAATTCGACAGAACATTAACAGTGCAGGACCGTCTTCTATGAGTTCCGCTCACATCGGTCCATCCTACAACATCTGATCATGGACTTTATCTCGCTCCTTGGACAGGAAATCGGGAGGAAGAAAAAGACTAGTCCCGTAAGGAACGACGATGTTCCGACCACGGCCACTGCTCGACACGGGCTGCACATTCCTGGTCTTCAGTTCGAGTCTAAGGATTGGTTCACGGAAATCATTCCTGCTCTGAAATCCTGGGGTCAAAACGTATTGTTTCTGGGACAGAGCAACATGGGTAAATCCTACTTTCTCATCAAGCTCCTGAAACGTGTGCAACCTGAGCGTATAGTTGTCATCTCCAACACGCCGGCCGATCAGTATCGTCTCCCAAGCCTCAAATCCTTCAAGCATTACAGCACCATGCCCGAGTGTATCGAAGACATGGATCTCCAGCCTAACACCTATGTGATCATTGATGACATCAGAGTGATGGGTTTGAAGCACGGCAGTCAAAGAGAGTGTCTCTACAAGTTCTTCACCATGTACAGTCATCATCATAAGTTGAACGTGTTCTCTCTCTCTCAGAGCTTTGATAACATTAAGGACATGAAGATCAATGCAAACTTTATGTATCTATTTCGCTTCACTGATAAAAGCAATATCAAGCGTTATCTCAATACTCTGTTTGGTGGTCTGTGCACGAAGTCATCCATTATCTTTAGATTGTATGAGAAGTTATTGGCGGTGTGTCGCAGACCTATCCTAACCATTGATTGCTCTTCTAATCAGTACTACACGTATTGCGAAGACACTGCATTAAAGGTGACTTTTGAATAAAAACCTCGTTGATGTGCGTGTTTAGCCGAAAAGTTAGCCGAAAAGTTAGCCGAAAAGTTAGCCGAAAAGTTAGCCGAAAAGTTAGCCGAAAAGTTAGCCGAAAAGTTAGCCGAAACATTGAAAAAAAATTCCAATAATGAATAAGAATGGAGCATCTTACGGTGAAATTCTCAAATGGGCTACCGAGCAGTATACAGAGGGTGGGGTCCAGAAAGGGATCCTTCTCGATACCCAAGCGTAAAAGGTTGCAAACCTTGCAGTTTATGTCGAAACATCCTCAACACATCCTCAAGAAGAGAGTAAATTCGTGGGAAGTTCTCGGTATACCACCACTCATGCGGCAAAAAGGAGGTAATAACTACAATACCTACTTGAAAAGCGTCAAGAAAGTTCTTTCCCAAGTGCCAGATCACAGTTTGAGCACCTCCAACCTGTTGGAACTGCAAGCTGATCCGCGAGTAAAGCGTCTATATGACACCCACTTCAAAAACAATCCCGATCACATCAGTTACCCGTCTGTGAGAAATGTGATTGCATCCAACATACTCAACTATGATTCCACTACCGATCAAGTTCGCGATTCCGTTGCAGATGTCAGGAAGAAGAGAAAGGCACCTTTAACATCAGTGCCTTTCAATCTATTACAAGACCACGAATTTGACCGATGGATCCTACAAATCCTGGACAGTTTCCTCCGACATACAAATATACCGGCAACCTTTTTGAAGAGCAACTATTTCACAAGCCGATCACAACTGCTGCAACTCTACGATGAAGATCGACTGAGGTTCAGGAGTCGGGTGGAAGCGGCTGCGGATGCCCTGAAGACGCAGACGATGAACGACTACACTACTCTGGTCAACGAGACGAATCGCATCTACATGTCCAGGTACCCGTTTGCAACCATAGCGGGTGCGGTGGGAATCCACAAACATGTCGATGGATTCCTTCGATCAGAACGAAAGATTCATGAACTAGCCACCCTAGTGCTAGCTGTACCAGGATCGCAGCTCAAGTTTCAAGATCTCAACGATATGACTTCTACGTATGGTAGAACAACTGAAGCAAAATTGATCCATCCCGAGCATTTCATGATCAGAGCACAAAAGGTGATGGTGGACGATGCATCATTCATTCAAGAGGTTCTGAAGGATAAAAGCAGGATCACTCGTATCATCAAGGATATCCTGAGTGGACGTTCAATGTGATCACGTGCGCGAAAATTTTCATGCTATGATCAAGAATGGACTACCCTCTCAGCAGTGCCGACATCAAAGGAAGATTGAATGGTGTTGGAGGATTCGTGGGGTGTACAAGTTACGATCTCTTACCACCCTTGAACAATGGAGACTTTTGTATCGTCAACACCGACAACGTTCTACCGGTGTACGATGCACCGGAAGGTGGACATCATTGGTTGACCGTGTGTCGCGAGCAAAACGTGATCCTGGTTTTTGACAGTTTCGGACGCAGTCTATACACTATGGAGCAAGATTACACTGAACCTGCACTGTGCGATTTCTTTAAAGAAGCCTATGTAGACTGTAAGATCATCACCAACACCCAAGCCGTTCAAGACAGAAGCACAGCAGTATGTGGATGGTATGCCATATTGATGGGAAAGCTATTTTCCAAATATGGTCTGGATGAAGCACTTCGAATTTTCCGAAGAGTCTTCGATGAGGATGAAAAGCTGGAAAACGATCAACTGGTTCTCAGTTTAGGTGCCTTGCGAGGTGGTGGAGCCTTGTGGGATACGAAAGTGCAAAAAGCACTTCATGATGGAAGACAGAAGAAGAAGTCGCAGTCCACACCATTCCACACGCAACTGGCTAACGAATTGCACAAACCCAGACGAGTGCATTTCAAAAGACGCAAGGTGAAGAGCAGGTCTGTGGATCACATCTGGAGTGCCGATCTAGTGGATATGCAACGGTTTGCCCGAAGCAACAAGAACTACAAATTCCTGCTGACCGTCATCGATCTGTACAGTCGCTATGCCTGGGCAGTACCCCTGAAAACCAAAACTGGCTCTGCTGTCAGGGATGCATTCGACCTGATCCTGAAAACATCGAACAGGGTACCACAAAAACTATGGGTAGACGAAGGCAAGGAGTTCTACAATGCAACAATGAAGCAATGGGTCAAGGATCACAACATCATCATGTACAGCACCCACAACGAAGGAAAAGCCGTGGTGGTGGAACGCTTCAATAGAACACTGAAAGGCAGAATGTGGCGCCATTTCACGGAGAAAGCTACGACACAGTATCTTGACGTCCTTCCTCAGCTTATGGTCAAGTACAACAGCTCGAAACATCGCAGTATCGGCATGAGTCCCACGAAAGCTTCTCTTGATGGAAAACCAAAAGATGCAGACGTACACTCGAAGCAATCACCAGCTAAATTCAAAGTGGGTGATGATGTGCGTTTGGCTGTGGCTAAACGTCATTTCGAGAAAGGGTACACGCCCAACTGGACAGAGGAAGTGTTCGTGGTAAACGATGTCCTACCCACTGTACCCCACACCTATCGTGTTCAAGACCTGATGGGAGAAGTCATTCAAGGACAGTTCTATGGAGCTGAGCTACAACATGCCAGACACACAGGATTGAGATTCGATAAGGTGTTGAAATACAACAAGAACAGTCGGCTCGTCAAATGGAAGGGTTATCAAGACGAAAAATTCCATACCTGGTTAACAAAGAAGGATGTGAATGATCTCAAAAAGTATTAGCATTTCATATGTACAATGTAGCTCATGCTTTGGATTAACGTGAATATTATGAATCGCATAGTATTTACAATGTATTTCATGAGAAGATATGACATATGCTCTAGTATGTGTGGAAATCCCTCAGTGCTTTGGAATATCCTTGTGTCCGAATGCCAGGGTGTTGATACCATCCTCCAGAATGTAACGCTTACTGTCGAATCCACAGAGGGCAATCTTGTGTAGCTCCTCTCCGTGAATGCAATGTCGTCGACTTCGAAGAACATTCATTGTTCTCTTCAGCTGAGACTCCTCGACGAGACATGTTCGATAATCATCGACGGTTATGGTGTTTTTCAACACGCTTCTCTGCACACCTTTGGCACGCTTGCCATTGTCGTCGTTGTCTTCACAGCGGTATGCGTACATCTTGCTCCGCAAACCAATGAACTCCTTGATGGGTTTGCCACCTAGTTCGTCCTTGAACTTCCCTACCACCTTCTTGTTGACCGTGCTGTACAGGTGGTGGGATGGTGAATAGTTGGATGTGTCATAGGCTGTTATGTTGTTTGACATATCGGTGTACAGATCATCCGTTTGAATATGTACGATCAGACTATCAGTATCAGTGTAGAGCAAACGTACATTTTGTCCATAGCGGGGTAGGAGAACTTCATAGTAAAAGGAATACATCAAGTGCTTCGACAGATCGAGGATGGCTGTACCCACATAAATGGGTTTATTGAGAGTCACCTTTGTCTTGGCAAACTCGATTGCTATCAGATCGTTCTCAAAGGCTACACTGCGGATGTACGAAGGTTTGTTGATGCTTTTCTGGAGACGTGGTTTTTCATCCTGTTCACGAATGAGCTTGATGTTTACTCTGTTTCGAACGTTTTCCATGGTCTTGCCATATACAGCATTGTTCATCAACTATGATAAACAGGCATACAAAGAAAAGACAAGAAAAACAACAATAAGAAAACTGTTATCTTCAGGTCATTCACACTTCCAGTACATACTAGATCCCACACTATCGCTAAATACACACACACACACACACATGATGTGGAGTACCCACCTTATAGAAGTCTTTCTCGAAATCAGAAGTTGATAGCTTTCTCAGGTCAGTATTAGTGTCGATGTATGGCTTCATCCATGGGTGTTGTGTGAAGGAGAGCACACGATGCACATCTGTAATCTCCACACCCAAGGACACATACTGCTGCAAGTTTCTGTAGTGCAGAACATAGTGCTCTTTCACCAGTAGATTTGGCACCAGTTTCTTCGCTTCCAAACCGGTCACCTACAAGAGTACAGTATAGATATACACAAACCTTAGAAGATTAATACAAGCATATCCACCAGATAGACCATGACTTACCATTAGTTTCTCTGCCATGTGGGTCTGATATGGAGAAAGCATATCTCGTGTCACCTTCATCTTCTCAGGAGCCAACGGATAGTCATTCATCATGTCATGCACACCATCTGGAATCCTTAAATCGCACTCCACCATGTATCCCGTCGAAGAGTCCATTGGATGATCGAGTACCGTCTCCAGAAGATCATCCGTCACTGCTTCAAAGCAGAAGTCCGACACGGGCAAGGGTTGAGACATGGCCCATCCATATAGATTGTTCGCATCTAAATATTGGATGAAGCTTGACGGCTCGTCTGGATTGTACTCCGATAGATATCTGTTGTTGGCGGTGGCGTGTCTAGCGGACACCATGCTTATGCCACCTCTTTTGCCATGCTCAATGAAGTTGAACATGTCAATGTCGGAAATGAGATGAAGGGACACCTTCGTCATTTTCAGCAGCGAATCCCAGGCAAATCCCGGTAAGGTGAGGTAATTAGCGGGATCCAATCCATAGGTTGCGTGAGCAGTTCTTCTGAAGTTTTCGAAAACGTCAGCCAACAGCAGCACATCAGTCTCCAGGTAGAGGTCGTGATAGTCTCCTAGATCTTCACAGTCAAACGCAGTCCATACTGTTTGCGCATAGGCATAGTCTTCATCACTGATACCCTAGGGAATAGAAAATGTACACCAAAAAGAAAAACAAATCAACGAACTTATTTTAGTAGTTCGCCCACACAATCAATTATTTAGTATGAAGCTGCAGGAAGCGTTCAAACACATTTTGTCTTATTTTAGTACTTCGAAGTAAGATGGTGAAAAAAGAAAGAGAGAAAGATCTACTATATCTGTCACACTACTCACCGTGTTCGTTAGCGTTGAGTGGAATGCATCCTTGGGTGGTAGACGCGTTTCTTCGAATTGGTCGTACGACCCCATATATTCATACGGGTAGACACCCTTTCGTGTCAACAGTTTGCGTTCATCCTCGTCTGGAAATCGTGCGGATAGAAGGGCGAATGCATCTGGTGGTGTAGCCGAAACCAACCGGTCTAGGGAGGTGTTCAAGAATGCCAGGCTGTCGATGAACTGGAACTGTCTCCATCCGAATGTGACATATTTTTCACTGTTGATGGGAATCACGTTGATAGCACCGAGACGCTTGGTCTGAGAAGAAGAAAGAAAAAGAGGAGACACAGTTTTAAGGTGCAGCTGTAAAGATGAATATCAATCATATAAACGTGAATATGAGTACCAACATAGTAATGATCTTCCTTCTTAGAAAAACATCATGATCCACGCACACACACACACACACGCACACACACACACACACACACACACACACACACCACGCATATGTAACGTACCCGTTCTTGTCCTTTCTCGTTCACATACGTAATCTCATCAGTGGACGTTCTCCCAATGGCAGATATGATGTGATGAGAATCGTATCCCTTCAAGTTATGAAAGATCACAGGAATCTTGATCTTGAATGGCTCAATCCGCATGTTCAGGTTACAATGGTTGTGTGCTGCACCACGGTAAGCACCGGTGATGTGACAGTGGTCACGTACACGATCGCTACCCAACGCTTCACCACAGATCCAACAGGAGACTACCGTTTCAAATTCACGTTGCTGACTTTCTGAAATGATCATTTGACCAGCATTACATGCTAGAAGCTCATCACGGATAATCTCCTCCTCTTGCTCAAGTGACAGCAGAAAACAGAACATAGAATCTTCTCCACGGTAGAAGAAACGGTTCGTGACGACGCCATCAGATCGTACTACAATGTACGAACAGGAACAGGCTACATGCTTGTTCTTTTGGAATGTCGAATGACCGATTTTCTTGACAGCGGACAGAGGTTCTATGAAGGCCTCACAATCGGCATAGATCACCTGCATTTGAGAGAGAGAGAGAGAGAGAGAGAGAAGTATGAATAGCAGCAGGGCCAACACCGAGTAAAACAGCAGAAAAGACAGATAGAGAATTAGGAATAGCTGCAGAGACAACACCGAGTAAAACAGCAGAAAGGTGAACAATCAGAGTCAAGAAACATGTGCAGGAAAGAAGAAAGAAAAAAAAAAAAAAAACAGACCACAGTGTGTTCTACTTACAAATGGGGCTTGAAGCTGCTTGTTCACATTCCTGAACATCACTCTATCGCCAGCCTTTGGCATCTCCACCGTAGCTTCAGGATGTTCACTGCAGTACATCATATGATTATTCAATGCCTTCTCCGTGACGTGTGTTGAGAGACATCTGAAGCAGACGAAATGTGCTCGACGTGCTCCAGTAGCAACAAGACGACTGAATGACTTTATCCACACCCAGTGCTGCACCTCCACGTCATTGCGTTCGTCTTGGATGAGCAATACATTGATGGCGGACTGCGGTTGCTGAGAAATTCTTAACGGATATATGACTTTCTCTTCATATCCGAAGACGTTGATGTAAAGACCGTCGTTCAGTCTTTCGATGACTGGTATGTCTTCCAGTTTTGCTGGAAACTCGATGCCGCTCACATCCACAGTATCCGCATGTTCTGCGTACGACGATTGACGACATGGACGAGACTTGTCTGCCGAAAATTTAGCAGCCAGTATTGACCATCTAAAGTACGGATGACATAAGACATGGACAGGCGGCATACAGTTCAATCCATACACCATAACACAACACTGAAACCCCACTGCTATACTTACAGTAAACACTTGTTGTCAGTGTTCTGCACGTTAACAATGGCCTTCTTCGACTTCAACTCCGGTGGCAAGGGGATGTACGAACTTCCTCCAAGTACACAATAGCGTGACATTTCGATGTGTAAACAGGAAATCCGTTCAACTACCCAACCTGATCCATGACGAACGAAATCATCAAGACGAGCGTTGATCTGAGCAATCATCCTACTGAGAAGGTCCCTCAGCTCCATGGTGTTGAGCACCAGCGTTGTACTCGATCGGAAGAAGAATGTGTTGGAAACCATTTGTCCTGTAGCAGGATTCAGCTTCTGCATCACCACCTGAACTACCAAAGAACACTTGTACTGACCCCATTGCTCAATATTCTCTTCAAGAAGCAGCTCCAGCGACGGTAGAACATGAGAGAAAAACTTTAGTACATCTGCAAACTCTTGATCAGGACAATAACTAAAGAATTGCAACAGATCAGATGATCTCACTACATCAAAAGACTGACGAGGTTTCTTCCGAAGGGGTTCCATCCTGAGCAGGGGTGGTGGCGGACAACCACACAATGACTTGACAAGGTACCGAGGATCTATTTTTATAGGGTTTTCGTAATAGTTGAATTCGGAATAACTGGTTGTTTTTCAATTAACCAATCCACTCATCTCCCGCTGGAAACAATTAACCACTTACCGCACTTCCCGCTGAAAACATGTGACCAATTAGCGCACTTCCCGCTGAAATCACGTTCATCCTTTTATCGCGCATTGACCCATGTTCCACACTTCACAGTGAAATCAGTGCTGCAATGATGTACTGTGACGTCAATGCATGGATGCATGATCTGTGCATCTGAGGTCAAGATGAATCCGGTATTCCAGCAGCTAAAAGTTCGAGAAAGAATTGTTGTATGTCGAAAAGAATTATACGAGAGGAAAGCTAGAAAAATTCTACAGCTCATGGACCTTTCGATTACGGACATAGATGGAAAACTAATTGACTTATGTCAATGGAAAGATTCCAAACCCGAACCAAAAAAGACACGGCATGTCGCGAGCAACGTTTTGGTTTTTGGCGCGCACCGTGTTCACCGTGTTCTCCAAGGTCGTCACCTTCCCGGAGGCGGGACCCGGCGGGACGGGACTTGGCGGGACCTATAAAACCTGATATAATTTCATTTTTGGTTCACAATTCATTTTTGAGTCCATTGGATGATCGAGTACCGTCTCCAGAATTTCTCTCTCTACCAGATCAAAGATGTCGGCCTGGTCAACCTCCGAACCATATGTAGAGAAGTTCTATTTATTTTCTTGTAGTAATAAAGATGAATTAACCGTTCGGTTACTCACCGATCTGGGCACAGCTTACGAGCTAAGACCCATGCTTCTTCACCCGGATCGGGTGGACTTGACTCCCATGGAGATTGCGGAGTATGTGTGCAGGGTGTCGACGCGCGTTCTCGTGAGCGGTGAGAAACACCAGCGTCTACCGAAGATCGTTGTTGATGGGGTAGAGGATTATGGATCATCATCATGGCGCGATACGGGCAGACTGCTCCGCTGCTGGGACGACGGGCGAAGATCGATGCTATGCCACTGCAAAATTCAGATTCTACCCTATGATCGGAGCACGGAATGCCGGAAGTAATCATGACCAGTGCCTTACTTGTAACGTACCAATGTACAATGAACATGAGTATTTCGACAACACATCTAAGCCTCAGCAGCAACATAAGCCTTACCGTCAAGAAGGTGAACTCGCGTTCTTCGCACACTGTTGGCAAGGGCAAAGAAATACGAATGGATCTAAATCCGAATAACATCAGCACACGTTTCCGTAAATGAAAGGGTGAGCATAAGCAAATGAATCGAAGGAAGCTGGTCAATTCAGAGATCACCTGTCATTGAGTATCCCGTAAAAGGAGGCCTCGACAGCAGAAAAGTTAATAATATAGAAAAGAGATCCTGTCAGCTTTTCCATTATTAATTTTATTGTATTCCACCTAAAATCAGCACACTTTTCGTAAATGAAAGAGTCAACACAAGCAAATGAATCAAAGGGAACTGGTCAACTCGCCTGTCATTGAGTAATATTCCGTGAAAAGAGTTCTCAGCAGAGCCGAAGCGAAATAAGCCAGGACACGAAATATCCGAAACAGCTCATGCAAGAAGCAGTTCCAAAGAAGGAAGTTCTTCGCGCATGCACATCCGAAAACGGACTGCACTGCACGCAACACAATGTCTGCCGTGCACGTGCACAGCACGCGGCTACCAAGCGTTGGTAGATCTAATACCGAGCACCTTACGTAGAAACTTACGTAGCCTAAGTGAAGTACCGAGTACCTTACGTAGAAACTTACGTAGCATAGCGGTGTCGTTTTTTTCTGCCATGTGAACGCAGGCGGCTTTAGGCCTTCCTCGTCGCCTCGGGGCAGCGGGATCCACCCACTTACGGCAGCAAGGTCCAGTGAGGCTGGACTTAGTGACACAGCCTGCGTTGCATGCCAATCGAGCGAGGTAGAATGCACAAGACGCAACGTGGTTTATCGTCTGACCTGCAAGTGCTCGGAGAAGTATGTTGGAGAGACTGGCCGCAGTGTAGCAACGCGAACAAAAGAACACAATGATAACTCACGCAACAAGACGTCTGGAAAAGCCCTGGGCGAGCACTACCGACTTCACCATGGCGGCGAGGTACTGCTGCTTGGCGAGTCGGCATTCACAGAGGTTCGCGTCCTTGCCACTGAGTCGGATCGGGCCAGGAGGAGAATACGCGAAGCAATACAAATTCGCGACACGAGCCCCAGCATAAACAATAACGCAGGGTGGGACCTCCTGTGAATTCTCTGGTGAGGCCTTGTACATATTTCTGGCCCTGATACTCGCTCTTCCTGGATGGTGGTGGTTTTGCACCCCTTGAACTAGTGCACTGTTACTACTACTGTTGTTGCTAGCGCCTGCAATTACATGTCTGCACGCACCTAGTGCACATGTACATTCTGTTTGTTGCTTGTACCTGTGCCATATTTAGAGTTGTCGCGTATTGCGTTATTTCTATACCTGGGTTTTTTTTTGTGATGTTTTGTCCTTTTGTTCTCTCTCTCGTCATAGTGCATGCAGGTGTGATTTGTTATCAGTTTGCAGCGCTCCTCGTATATTAACCCATCCTAACCGGTGTGCCCACTTCATTCCTGATGATGGTTATTTCATGACCGAAACGTTGAAATATAAAATTTTTCTGGTGAAAAGCAGTTATTTGAGTGTGAGCCAGTGTTGCTCACAACCAATTTTTTACTTATGAAGCTGCGTGATGCGTCCTACAAGATTTTCTAATAATAATATTATTATTATTTGCCATGGCGACCCCCGTAAGCCCAAATAGCTGGCAGGGCAGGGTTGGGCCTTTTTTTCTTTTACTTCACAGGTGTAGCATTCTATCAGTCATTACGTATGACAAACGTAAAAAAACAAAACAAAAAGAGATGAACAAATCGTCCTTCAGCAAAAAAAAAATTTTCTGCAAGAAAAGGCTTGCACATCAATGCGTATACTACGGTATTGAATTTGATATGATACACGTACATAGGGGCTCCCGTAAGAAGACCATAGTGTGGGAAACACCCTAGTAAAATAAAATAATAATAATAACATGTAGAGGCGCTACATGTAGGCCATCATTTATTTGGGCATTCCATTGGTGACACAATTATAATCCTTTAGCCAAAAAAACAAAAGAAATTATAGCAATAAAAACTGCTTTATGGCAGTTTTCTAAAAAAAGTTATTGTGTTCTAGTCCATGGACCCCGTCTAAAAAGTAAGAAATTAACGAAATGTGATGGCCGAAAATTAAAATTTCACACAAAACCTCACAATAATCACACACAGAATGCGAGACGACCTTTTCCCCTCGTGGTCCTCTTTCATATGCATGTACTTGTACAAGTACAAGTGTCGGAATAAACAAGTGTTGAAAGCCGTACTATTAGATCTTCAAGTGTCGTGATTATTGTGAGGTTTTGTGTGAAATTTTAATTTTCGGCCATCACATTTCGTTAATTTCTCACTTTTTAGACGGGGTCCATGGACTAGAACACAATAACTTTTTTTAGAAAACTGCCATAAAGCAGTTTTTATTGCTATAATGTATAATAGTACAAAATGCACAAACTGGACATATCAGTGACAAATAATTATAGTGATAACCCCCCCCCCCCCCCCCCCCCGGTTACCTTGTATTGGCACATTTAGGGTACCCTGTAAGAAGGCCTTAGGCCTGTGGGGATTGCCCTATCAAAAATTTAATAATAATAATAATAATAACGCCTCTAACTTCTAAGCACCTAAACATCGCCGAACAAACGCCAGCCCGTGTCCATATTCACCGCCCGTTTCCTCCTTTCGCATGAACTTTTTTTATCCTTGTCATGCAGCCGAGCCTGTTCGGGGATGGACTCAGGCAGGGGTATCGGAACCGGTGCGGCAGGTTTGACCAAAGACAAAGTTAAGTAGCACGAAATATTATTTATTTCATAGTCAGACTACTACCATAGTACTAGTAGGCACTTCAGCCGGTTTTTTCCAGTCGGGTTTCTCCCAGGTTTAGCATCGTAAATCGACAGTGGTGGATATCACAAGGTCACACACAAAATTTCATTGAAATCCACAAAGACACAAGTGAGATATGAAGGGTTGAAGAGAGGCAATTGCATAAGGCGAAAACAATACAATTTGTGGTACCAACAGCATCCCCAAAGTGTTATCAGTGGATATAGTTACACAACTTCAGAGTGGCATTTTCGAACACACGGCTCTCACAAACACCAACAAGTGTTTATGGATGAACAAAATACTGATCAAAGTTCACAATAGTCCAGAATACGGCAATTGTTACCACAATCACCATAGCAACCCCATAGCAACCCATAGTAACCCATGGCAACCCTATAGTAACAGCTTCGGTTTGCTGTGAAATTAGCTAATATCGACATAGAGTTCACCAGCAGGCCACTGCTGCTGCTAAATGCTATAAAAGACATTCTTCTGGCACTCAGAAGGTAAGCACACCGAGATAGCATACGCAAAATGAATTGAAAGCGGAATTTCTGCATACACAACGCACATGCACACGTTAACGCCACTTCAAACAGAGGTTTGATGTTGGAAACCAGTTTCTCTATTGGCAGCTCCTTTGTACCAGTAGAAAGTGCAAACTAAATTACTTTGGACCTTCTGCAGCAGAACAAACTACTTACTTGCAGAAGTGAAGCTGCGAATTGAGAGCAAGGCGTTCGTCAGTGACAAAGAACATTTTTGAGAGCTGCTCCTGTGCTGCCTCCTTCGAGATCCAGAGCCCACCTACAGCCGTGATCTCCGTCAAAGTCTCCTTTTTCTTTTGATGTTGTTCTTTCTTGCGTGTGCTACCTGCCTCCTTCTCCTTCACTTGCTCCATACAGCAGTCATGAATTGTCTGCTGGCGAGCCTCGAGATTCTCACATGATTTTGGTGCAGCGCGCCTGGATGCGTCGATCAAAGACTTAAGTGTCCCTCTCATCGGCGGATTTCTCCTGTAGCCACTGTGCCGTTTGATTGTTCGTAAACATCAGTAGCCGTTCAAGCACAACAGGGTCAAACATTGGCTTTCAGCACGCTTTGAAAACTGGCTCAGGTAGGACGACGACGCATCTTTCTCCTCCGCCTCAAGCCCTTCTCCTCGCTATCTACGTCCATATTTCCTCCTTGCGCAGCTATGCGCAAACCCTGGTGAACAAGAACTCAACTGTTTCTGAATGGAAACACGACGTTGAAGACGATAGGCAACGTTTCCAACGCGTACTAACAACATTTCCTGGTGAAAAAACTCTTTGCTGGAAGTGTACATGATCTGCAAGTCGCAAAAATGTACGCACTATGACGTATGTAGGCTCTACTGCAAGCTGAACGCCAGAGCAGCACGATGCACTGAAATACAGGCCCGTACAACGAAGCATGGCGCGTACCTGTGTATTTAGAAAAGCGATCCTGTCAGCTTTTCTATTATTGTGTTCACATGGCGCTACCCAGGAGTTCTCAGCCTGGACACCACTGTCGGCACTGATACCACCCGTGACCTTCTTATCAGCAAACATCCGGCAGGGGAGCCGGCTGATGCAGAGTCTCTGCTCACGGGTGAGCCACCTGTTCAGCCCCACAGAGTGATGTTCTCAAGCCTGACCCGTGACGTCATCCGCCGGGCCGCCCTGCACACCCACGGCGCGGCTGGGCCATCGGGCATGGACGCTGATGGATGGCGGCGCATGTGCACCGCGTTCTCCGAAGCGTCGGATGAGCTGTGTGACTCGCTTGCAACATGCGCTCGTCGCATTGCTACCACATACGTCAACCCAGCGACACTGGAGGCGCTCGTCGCATGCAGATTAATAGCCCTTGACAAATCGCCGGGTGTTCGACCCATTGGTATCGGCGAAGTGGCCAGGCGCATTGTCGGCAAAGCCATCCTCACTGTCACCGGGAGAGATATCCAAGATGCAGCGGGCACCCTTCAACTGTGTGCCGGTCAGGAGTGCGGCATTGAAGCTGCCATCCATGCGATGCAAGATGTCTACCGTGAGGAGGATGCGGATGCCATATTGCTCGCCGACGCTTCGAACGCCTTCAACCGGCTTAACCGTGAAGCCTGCCTACGGAACATCCGTCACCTCTGTCCCTCTATAGCGCCAGCTGTAATCAACACCTACCGCCAACCATCCCGCCTATTCGTTGATGGAGAGTGCTTGCTATCGTGCGAGGGTACCACTCAGGGGGACCCTCTGGCCATGCCCGTATATGCGCTTGGAGTCCTCCCGCTCATCAAGAAAGTTGCAGTGCCTGGTGCGAAACAGGGCTGGTATGCGGACGATGCTGCAGCCGGTGGCAAGCTAACGCCTGTTCGCCAATGGTGGGACAATCTCGTCAGCCAAGGTCCTGGGTATGGCTACCACTGCAATGCCCAGAAGTCACTCCTCCTGGTCAAGCCCTCCAGGTACGCAGCTGCTATCGAGATGTTCGAGGGGACCGGTGTGCAGGTCACGTGTGATGGTTGCCGCCACCTTGGTGCACCTTTGGGCACGGATGAGTTTATAGAACAATTTGTCCAGTCCAAGGTCGCCACCTGGTGTGAGGAAGTTGCGCAGCTCACGACCATCGCTGCATCGCAGCCACAGGCTGCCTACTCCGCCTTCACACAGGGCCTGCAAAACAAGTGGTCCTTCCTCTGCCGGACCTCCTCCATCCCGCCATCCTTGCTTGAACCGCTGGAACACGCAATCAGCGGTCGGCTCATCCCGGCCATCACGGGTCAGGCTCCACCTGGGACAACTGTTCGCTCCCTACTCTCTCTGCCTTGCCGGCTTGGAGGACTGGGTATGGCAGACCCTTGTTCAGTGGCTGAACAGTACACCTCATCCCGAAGGATCACGGCTAGCCTCGTGTCTCGCCTGCTGGAGCAGGAGTCGTCTCTTGGCGACTCTCTGACTCAGCTCCGGACGGTCAAGGCGACGGTTCGGGCCGAGAAGCGGAGCGCGTTCAAGTCTATGGCTGACGCTCTTCGCTCGGATCACCGGGAGCTGGCCCCTGTTCTCGACCTGGCCTCAGAAAAGGGTGCATCCAGCTGGCTGACCTGCCGCCCCCTCAGCCGCCATGGTTTCACACTCAGCAAGGGAGATTTCCGGGATGGCCTGTGCCTCCGGTACGGCTGGACACCTCCTCGGCTCCCAAGCCTCTGCGTGTGCAGTAAGCCGCTGAATGTGAGTCACGCCCTGTCGTGCCCGTTTGGTGGCTTCCCGACGCTGCGACACAACGAGGTGAGGGACATCACCGCCAGAGCTCTGAGGCAGGTCGCTCACAACGTGACAGTGGAACCCCACCTCCAGCCCGTCACCGGAGAGGCCTTCCGCCATCGCACAGCTGTCACGGAGGAGCAAGCTCGGCTGGACGTTGCGGCTAGTGGTGTGTGGGGTGGCCGATTCGAGCGCATCTTTATTGATGTACGGGTGTTCAACCCTTTTGCGTCTTCGAATCGTGCCACCTCCCTCGCTGCTAGCTACAGACGCCATGAACAGGAAAAGCGCCGGAAGTACGAGGAGCGAGTACGTGAAGTTGAGCATGCCTCCTTCGTGCCCGTTGTGCTCTCTGCCTCTGGTGGCTATGGCAAGCA